CTAGAAGATATAACGGTAGATATTAAACAATATGAACAAAAGGAAAAATAGAATAAAAAAATAAACAAGGCCTCAAGGAGTTGTGGGGTGATAACAAAAGAGCTAACATTTTTGTCATTGGAGTTTCAGAAGAAGACAAAATAGCCAGGTCTGAAAAAATATTCAAAAACTTTGCCTAAATACTCTGCTTACATAATGCCTAAAAACTTTTCAAATCTGGAAACAGAAATAAACCTACAGATTCAAGAAAATGAACAAATTCCAAACAGAATAAATCTACAGAAATTCATGCCAATACACATCTTTATAACTGAACATCAGAAAATTAAAGAAAAACTCTTAAAGAAGAGAAAAACAACATCTTATAAACCACGTAAAAATTCTCAGAATGACAGCGAATTTCTCATCAGAAACCATGGAGTCCTAAAGGAAATGGCACAATATTTGCCAGGTGCTAAAAAAAAAAAAGAAAAAAAAAAAAGAAAGGACTGTTAATGCAGTTTCCTATGCCCGGAAAAAAAGTCCTTTAAGGATAAAAGGAAAATCAAGATATTCTCAGATGAAAAGAAAAAATTCCAAGAGAATTAGCTGATAGCAGGCATACCCCACAAGAATGTTGAAAGGAAGTTATCTAAACAGAAAGGAAACAACAGAAGAAGGAAGTCTGGAACATTATGGAAGAAAGAGCACAGTGTGCAAAAACATGGGCAAATACAACAGGTTTTTCTCCTTTAGAGTTTATAAATTATCTTTCATAGCTGAAGGAAACGTAACTTTATCTGATGCGCTTCTTAAACATATGTTGAAGAAGTAATTAGGACAATTATAAACAAGGAGAGTAAACAGATGTAAAGGGAGATAGAGATAATAATTCTATACTTCACTCAAACTGGTAAAATGACCAACCATTAAAAAAATCTCCACAAGCCGGGCTCGGTGGCTCAGCCTGTAATCCCGCGCCTTTGGGAGGCTGGGGTGAGTGGATTGCCTGAGCCCGCGGGTTCGAGACCCGCCTGGGCAGCGAGACCTCATCTCTACAATAAATCAAAAAAATCAGCCGGGCATGGTAACGTATGCCTGTAATTCCAGCTACTTGGAAGGCTGAGTCGGAAGGATCACTGGAGTCCAGCAGGTCGAGGCTGCGGTGGCCGGGAGCGGCCACTGCACTCCAGTCTGGGCGACAGAGTGAGACTCCAACTCAAAAAAAAAAAAAAAAAAAAATCTCCACAAAGAGATACATTACAGACGAACAAAAATGGAATTCTAAAAAGTGTTCAAGTAATTTAAAGAAAATAGGAAAAAAGAAAACAAAACTAAAAAAATGGAAGGAATAAAGAGAAAACAAAAAATGAAATGGCAGATAATCTTACTATCAATCATTATAATTAATAACAGATTAATTAAACACATAATTACACATGTTCTACACTCAATGTAAGTCATCAAAAATTAATAATTTATAATTCAATTAAAAATTAAAAGAGATCACCAGAGTAGATTTAGTCACCAGGGAAATGTTAATCAAAACCACAATAAGATACCACAAATCCACTAGGATGACTAAAATTTTTTTAAAGTGGCAAGGAGGTGGAAAAATCAGAATCTTTGTGTACTGCTGGTAGGAATATAAAATGGCACATCTGCTGTGAAAATGTTTGATGGTTTCTCAAAATATTAAACATTGAAATTTCTAAATGACCAAGAATTCCACTCCAAGGTATATGACCAAACTTAATGGAAAGAATTAATGCAAGCAAATATTTGCATGTGAATGTTCATAGCAGAGCTATCCACAATAGTCAAAAGGTGGAAATATTCATCAAGAAATGAATGGGTAGACAAAATATGGTATATCAATTCCATGGAATATTACTCAGTCATAAAATGAAATAATGCATGTTACAATGTGGAGGAACCTCAAAAACATAAAGCTAAGTAAAAGAAACCAGACACAAAAGATCATACATTATACATTCTATTTATATGAAATATACAGAATATGCCATGCTACAAAGAGAGAAAGCAGATTAGTGGTTGTGAGGTGCAAAGAGCATAAGGAAATAAAGAGTGCTTAATGGACATGAGGTTTTGTTTTGTAACTAAATAACAGTAACAGCTGCACAACACTGTCAATATACTAAATGCCACTGAACTGTACACTTTAAAATGGTTAATTTTATTTTGTGTGAATTTACCCTAAAAATTTACATGACAAAGCTATACGTTTGATAGTCAAATACACTCAATATGTTTTATATTGTTAAATTTTAAAACTAAAAATATCAAAAGTAATCTTCAAGTCCAATTTTTATTAAAGCAGTCATTACAGAAGAGAATTATACATACAGTAACAGATGTTTCTTACTAAGTATTATGTTAATAAAAAACAGTAGTAATTTTAAAATGACATTGAATTAGGGAAATAAAGGGGAAAGTATTCAACTATGAAAAATTTCTTAAGGTGACAATGGATGACAAATCATTTCTATCAATGTATTAAAATTATTAATTTATTAAAATATTTTCCAAAAGCCAAACACTAAAATAAATGAACTGTTAGCACTATTCAAAATGAACCAAAACACACTTTTAGTCTAAGTTAAAAATAAAAGATGGTAAAACATAATGTTTAATACAATAGAGCAAATTTTTAAAAAATGACCCAATTAACTGCATGCTGCCTAGAAGAAGAAAGAGAGGGACATTACAGGATAAAAGTGCCAATCTACCAAACAAACATAACAATTCCAAACATTTATAAACCAAACAACAGAGCTGCAAAATATGTAAAGCAAAAGCTAATAGAATTGGAAAAAGAAATATAAAGATCTGTTATTATAATTGGAAACTTCAACACATCTCTGTTAACAATGGAGAGAACAACTAGAAAGAAAAGCAGCAAGAAGATAGAAAACCTCAATAACACCATCAATCAACAAGATCTATCTGACATTTATAAGACATTCTACCTCAATAGAATACACATTCTGTTCTAGTGCCCATGGAACATATACCAAGATGGACCACATCCTAGACATAAAACAAACATGAATAAATTGAAAATATTTGAAATCACACATCATTTCTAAGTGTCAGTTACAGGGGAAAAAAAAAAGAAATCTTACAGAAGGTGTTCTCCAACCACAGTAACTAGAAATGGAAAACAGAAAGATAACAGCAAACTCTTCCAACACTGAAAACAAAACAACACACTTCTAAATAATCCATGAATCAAAGGGGAAATCTTAAGAGAAATTTTTAAAAAACTGAAGACGAAAACACAACATATTGAAATTTGGGGGATATAGCAAAAACAGTACTGAGAGCAATTTTCAACCCTAAATACATGCATTGAAAAGAGAAAAATCTCAAATCAATAATCTAAGTTCCCACCTAAAGGACATAGAAAAGAAGTACAAAACAGACCCAAAGAAAGCAGAAAGAAGAAAATAAAAAAACAGCAGAAATCAATAAAATGAAAAACAAAAACAACAGAGAAAAATCAATAAAGCAAAAAGCTGGTCTTTGAAAAGACCAATAAAATCAACAGAAAGAGAGAGACTTTATGTATACCAGGAATTAAATGGGATATTCCAACAGACCCTGCAGGCATCAATATAACAGTAAATTATGAATAATAAAGAAATAATAAATCGGGCTCGGTGGCTCAGCCTGTAATCCCGCGCCTTTGGGAGGCTGAGGTGAGTGGATTGCCTGAGCCCGCGGGTTCGAGACCCGCCCGGGCAGCAAGACCTCATCTCTACAATAAATCAAAAAATCAGCTGGGCGTGGTAGCGCATGCCTGTAATTCCAGCTACTTGGAAGGCTGAGGCGGAAGGATTGCCGGAGCCCAGCAGGTCGAGGCTGCGGTGGCTGGGAGCAGTCACTGCACTCCAGTCTGGGCAACAGAGTCAGACTTCAACTCAAAAAAAAAAAACAAAAAACAAAAAGAAATAATAAAGCTTGAACAACTCTACACAGATAAGCTTGACAACTTAGACCAAATGGATTAATTCCTCAAAAATCATAAACTACCACAACTTATCTACTATGAAATAGATAATTTGACTGGTCTTATAATTATTAAGAAAATTTTATTCATATTTTGAAAGCTACCATAAGAACTCTCTAAGCCCAGATATTTTAATGAAAACATCTACAAAATGCTTAAAGAATGAACATGTATTCTGCATAATCTCTTGCAGAAGAGAAAACAGGAGAGGGGGAAAATTTTTATGAAGAAAATATTTCTCTGACAGAAACTAGACAAAGGCAGCATAGTCATACAATAATAAATTACAGTCATCCCTTTGTATGTGTAGGGGACTGGTTCCAGCCCCTACCCAATGTGTAATGAAATCTACACATAAAAAAAACATAAAAAAAAAAAAAAAAAAGAAATCTACACATACTCAAGTCCCACACTTAGCCCTGTGAAACCTGCTATACAAAAAGTTGGCCCTACGTATATGCAGATTTCACTTCCTGCGAATACTGTATTTTTTACTTAAGTTTGGTTGAAAAAAACTTCTGCGTATAAGTGGACCTTCACAGTTCAAATCCATGTTGATCAAGGATCAATTGTATATGTAAATTTATTTTAAAATAAATTATGCATAAAAGTGTAATTTTATATTGCTTTGGCATCCATTTTGAACGCAGGTTTAGCGTTTCTCATTCCAGAGGGTTTAGTCACTCTGGATAGAGTTTCCAGTTCTACAGCATACCAAATGGCTCAAGCTGATGGCCAGAGGTAAGAACCTAGAGACATCTCTTCCATCTAGCAGACTCCTGCTTTTCTGCCACTTCCTTTAAAGGGACAGTTCAAGCCTTTACGCCTAAACTGAAAGTGTTTCATACCCTGTTCCCCAGTATATACTGATAGGCGCCCTGCTCTCCTGCTCTAGGCTCCCTCCCTATCTACGAGAAGTGTTTTTTGTGTGAATAAACCATTTAAAAAATCTACTCAGTTGAATGAATAGTGAATTACAGATATTTACCTGTTACTTGTTTCCTTAGTTTTTCAATTTCTTCCTTTAAACTTTTTATTTCTAAATCTTTGCTTGCTGTTAGTGGACCATCAATAGTTGAATACTGCAGAGCTTGGACAGTCTGTGTTGACTCTTAAAAATAGAATAAAACAAAGAATGAAAAACATCACCATGCTTTAATTTTTTAAATCTAATAAAAATATATTTCTGTGTAAAGAAATCCTTATATAATTTTACAAATCAAAACACTTACCCACCAACAAAAAGCATGCAAACACATTAAAATTAAGTCATAAAAATTTCATTGCATGTCTTTAGAATTTAAATAGATATATAATCTATTTCCTAAAATATGAGATTTTTGGTTTAAAATACTGTTGGTATACTCTGCTAGTGAATTAACCATTTAGTTCATTTTTGATCTAGCAGAGAACATCACCACGTGATAACTCAAAAGTGTTGTATATCCAGTAAATGAAGAAATTAATCTAGGGTTTAAAAGGAGGTTTAGACATGTTAACACATATATGCCAAAGTGCTAGCCTTCCAAACTTTGAAAGTTGAGGCCCACCTACAGATGACTTTGGCTCATCAGTTTAGTTAAAATATCTCGTTACAATAGAGATTTTTTTTTTTTTGAGTTGGAGTCTCACTCTGTGGCCCAGACTGGAGCGCAGTGGCACGCTCCCGGCCACCACAGCCTCTACCTGCTGGGCTCCAGCGATCCTTCCGCCTCAGCCTTCCGAGTAGCTGAAACTACAGGCACGCGCTACCACACCCAGCTAATTTTTGAATTTATTGTAGAGATGAGGTCTCACCAAGTTGCCCAGGCGGGTCTCGAACCCGCGGGCTCAGGCAATCCACTCACCTCAGCCTCCCAAAGCGCGAGATTATAGGCTGAGCCACCGGGCCCGGCTAACAGAGATTATTAATTTATCTTACAGTTCTAACCAGATGATACATGGTGTTAAAGAAACATTAATACTATAGAGACTAATTCTCAGGTATCATCAAAACATATGGAACAAAAGAAAACTTTAAAGTCTTTCTAGGTTAGAAATGAAACTCTGCTTTGCCTAAAGTAGATATTGTGCTATTTATGAGGGGTTCCAAAATATTAAGTTTCTCCAATTTATTGTAATTTTTGTGAGTTAGTGCAAATCATTACTGATTCCTTTGTGTGTGTGTGTGCGTGTGTGTGTGCGTGCGCACACATGCATGCACGCACATGTGTTTGTGTATCATGCATGGTGGTCAATAAATATTTGTTAATTTGAATTAAAGGTATAATATATGCTATATTGTGCATCTGATCAAGATTTTCTACATCCAGTAGGTATTTCTTACACATTTCTTTTACTTTGGGTTCAAAACATCCTACAAATTGGCCCTTTTTAACGTTTATTGTTTGGAAAAGAACATTCACTGTTTTTCCTTTTTTAAGACATCTCAGTTGGGGGTGGAACATAAGGAGACATAAAAAATACCCAAAGGACAGTAATAGGAATGATTTTCCCTTCTGTATCTCACTTACTGGAGGGTATGGAGGTGGGGTAGTTGTCCTTGCTCCTCACTGCCCCGTTTTCTCTCAGTAAAACTCCTAGGTCTGCTGAAGCACCCATTTCCTGTTTATTTAGTTATCTACTTGCCTTCTCTATCTTATTCTCTTCTTGAATAAGGACTTTACATGTTGTTCTCTGCCCTTCTTTCTACTATCACTCTTTTGCTATTTTTAGTGACCTAAATATCAAAATCCATCTAACACCCTGGTTTCTCAGGCACACAAATCCCCAGTGGCAGATACTGGGTTTTATTCTGTTATCAGGCTACAGTGTGCATAGGCGAGGTGGATCCCAGTCAAAACTGTGGCTGGTTTACAGTAATGTAGGATGGAATTATTCAGTATTGGTCAAGAACTAGATATATGACCAAGTTAGAACTTAAATAGTACCTTGAGAATAAATTCACTAGGGGGCTTGTGGGAGAGGTTTTAATCTCCCATTAAATGAGAGATGTATGAAGTGAAATGAATCTTTTTTTTATGGTGTCTGAATATATACAGACATGAAGATGGAACTCTGGCAATTCTGTGGAATCATATGGGGAAAGCCAGGAAAATTAAATAGAGAAGCTACCCCAATATAAATACCACAACCATTTGCCTCTTGACTTATTTAAGATTTACAGTCCAAAACAATCTAGCTGATAGGTTTCTCTCCAGCACAGTCACCAAATTAATTGGTCATATCCAATTAATTTGCTTCATATCTTTACTCAAGTGGTACCCATCATGTTACAGAAAAAGGATGGGAAAGGGGGGTGAGGTGTTGACACAGTGTACTAGGAGATTGCTACGAGCATAGAATCTGGAAACCAAAGAATGCTCAATATCTCACAGAGTGAATTTGAAACCATCTCTCACATGAATAAAATTACCCTACCCCAAATGCTTGTAATTCACCTACTGAGAAATTCTACTGTACATTTTGTCATTACCAGTATCTGTACAACCTCCAAAATTCTCTCTCTTATCCTTACAGCTTACTCACACTAGGAAACTCTTTAACAATTCTAAATTACCACCAGGGGTGCCAAGCAAAACCTCCCTAACAATTTTCATTCTTTTCTCTTACTTCCATACTTACTCTGGTTAGATTCCTTGGTCCATCACTGTTTTGCATACACGTGTACTTCAATTTCTTTACCTTTCTCTCCTGCATTGTACTTAGCCTAGAAGGTCACAATCTTGGCTAATTCCTACTCCCCGTCTGACTCTATAGTTTCACCCATGTAGGTGAAAACAGCAGAAGAAAATACAGACACTTAAAATTTATGATTACTAACCTTAAATAGCTTGGCTATGTCTGGCAATGCTAAAATATTTCCTTAGTCCATTTACTCTTCTCTAAAGTGACCACTTCACATCTTCTCTTTCTCTTGTCAAATATCTAATATCTCCTCTACATTCCTTACTCTCAGCTGATGACCCTACTTTGTACTTGATGTATTGTCTGTGACCTCATAACAGAATACAAACTGATGTGATGGGGCAAGTATTTTTATCTTTGTCTGTTCATTATTGTACCCCCAGTCATGTACAGAATAAATCCCAGCTCACTGGTACTGAGTAAATAGTTGAAAAATGAATAAATGGGCTTATGTCATTTATGTTAACCTAACTCATTGCTATGAAACAGGTAGTGATACCAAAAGGCAATGATCTTACATTTTTGTTGACTTTGCTCTGTGCAGATATCAATTATGTGAAAAAAATACTCTCTAAGAACAAATTGAAGAATTCAAAACATTAAAAAAGAAACCAAGAAAGGAAATTCTCATTCATAATAGGATGGATGAGGAAGAAACAGGTCATTAATCTACTGCTATAAACAGTAAAAGTACAATATACAATTTGAAAAAAATCTTATTGTTAAAGACATCATACAGCTGAGAAAGCAAAGAGATTAAGTAAAATAAACCAGAGAGGAGCAAGTCACTCTGAGGTGAAAAGGCGATTATAACTACTTATTACCTGAAAAATGCTATCCTGAGTTTTTCCTGATATATTACCTGAAAAGAAAAACCATCAAACCTTCTGGAGGATATGCGGGGCTGATGCAACAATTTAGAAACCTAAATAAACAGTGCTTTTATCCCCATGGTGTATTTTATGTGTTATACCTACAGGCTGCATAGGAAGTCAAGGAGCTTCTAAAAATCAAACTGAGATCTCCTACAGCAAGGGTCCCTAACCCCAGGGCCACAGTCTGGTAACAGGCCCTGGTAACAGTCTGTGGCCTGTTAGGAACCAAGACACACAGCAGGAGGTGAGTGGTGGGTGAGTGTGTAAGCAAAGCTTCATCTATATTTACAGCCACTCCCCATCATTCACATTACCACCTGTGCTCTGCCTTCTGTCAGATCAGTGGCAGCATTAGATTCTCATAGGAGCACAAGCCCTGTTGTGAACTGTGCATGCAAGGGATCTAGGTAGCACATGCCTTATGAGAATGTAATGCCTGATGATGTGACATGGAGCCGAGGCAGTGATGCTAATACTGGGGAGTGGCTGCAAGTACAGATTAACATTAGCAATGAGGTTTGGTTGCACAGAGACCATAATAAATCAATTGCTTGCAGAGTCATATAAAAACCCTATCAATGAGTACACAATAAGTGTAATGTACTTGAATCATCCTGAAACTATCTCCCCCTAGCCCTGGGGGAAAAACTGTCTTCCACTAAACCAGTCCCTGATGCCAAAAAGGTTGGGATCCACTGTCCTACAGTACTTAGTATTTCAGAGACGAAGAGCCTCGAGGAAGAGAATCTGCCTCAAACAACACATGACTAGTTTCCTCATCAAGACATGCACCAAATCTGTAAGTGTTATAAGAGGCTAAAGGTCAGAATAAATCTCCCACAGTGTATAGAATGAGGGAGAAAGAGACTCAACCAAGTTCTATCTAGTTCCTGCTTCTTGCCATTTGAAATAAGGGATACAAGCTGGGCTCGGTGGCTCAGCCTGTAATCCCGTGCCTTTGGGAGGCTGAGGTGAGTGGAATGCCTGAGTCCATGGGTTCGAGACCCACCTGGGCAACTTGGCGAGACCTCATCTCTACAATAAAGCAAAAATTAGCCAGGTGTGGTAGCGCGTGCCTGTAGTTCCAGCTATTAGAAGGCTGAGGTGGAAGGATCACTGGAGCCCAGCAGGTCGAGGCTGCGGTGGCCGGGAGCGACACTGCACTCCAGTCTGGGCGACAGAGTGAGACTCCAACTCAAAAAAAAAAAATAATAATAATAATAATAAAAGTCATCTATAACAAACCACAATCAATGTCATACTGAATGGGCAAAAGTTAGAAGCATTTTACTTAAGAGATGAAACAAGATAAGGATGTCCACTCTCACCACTCCAGTCACAGCAATCAGTCAAGACAAAGAAATAAGATGTATTCAAACAGGAAAAGAGGAAGTTCGTATGTGATATGATTCTCTATATAGAAACCCTAAAGATTCCACAAAAAGGCTCCTTGATCAGATAAGCAACCTCGGTGAGTCTCAAGATACAAAATTCAACATTCAAAAATCAGTGCATTTCTAAACATTAACAACATTCAAATCAAGAACTA